CCGAAAGCACATCGCCGCCGTCGGCGCTCCGTCGCCACCTTGAGCTCTCGGCCCCGCTCGAGCCCGGATCGGCTGCCGCCAACACTCGAGATCGCCGGACTACCGATCGTCACCGCCGACCCCGACAGGGCTCCAGGCCCCAAATTACGTGTGAGTGTTAGAGTTGTTTGGTATTGCTAAAAATCTCTCTCTCTCTCCGACCCCGCCGCCGTCATGGTGGGTAGTGGCAGCGCCACGGCCGTGATTGCGAACACTGCGGCCGCGGGAGGAGAGAGCGTAAATCCTCAGTCTTCACTCCGAGCCTCGACGCTCAGAGCGAGAGGGCTCGGCGTCCCACACTGACCCCCTCCGAGCCCCGTGGCAACAGAGCCGTGACGCAAGGGCGAGTCAATAACCGACACGGGTCGCACCCGGTGGACGGGAGGCGCCCCCTCTCCAACACACATGGCGCAGCTTTGATCCGAAAGCGCATCGCCGCCGTCGGCGCTCCGTCGCCACCTTGAGCTCTCGGCCCCGCTCGAGCCCGGATCGGCTGCCGCCAACACTCGAGATGGCCGGACTACCGATCGCCACCCCCGACCCCACCCGTCGTCATGGTGGGTAGTAGCGGCGCCACGGCCGTGATTGCGAACACTGCGCGGGAGGAGAGAGCGCGAACCCTCAGTCTTGACTCCGAGCCTCGACGCTCAGAGCGAGAGGGCTCGGTAATACCCGGTACGACTTTTTTGGGCAAGGCGTCTATTTATATTACCCAAAAGCTAGGCTACACAACGCCCTCTATGTTGGGTCAAGGCGTCTATTCGGTGCTCTGCACGTTAGAGCGTGCGGCAGGCGTGCGGCAGGCACCTGCCGGACGCAAATGGGGCCGCCTGGTGGCCTCCGAGCGCCAGCCGAAGCAACCCTCGTCGTGCCCCGACACCCCCCCGACTCATGATGTGCCGCTCTTGCCTGTGTGGCCGCTGACGGCGGGACCCCGTGCGCGGCTGCGCCGCAATCTCGTCACTGCCGTCGTCACACCTGTCCACAGATGCGACGGGTGCCTGTCCGACCGCG